CAGCTTTTGACGAAACAAAGAAATCGGTTGGACATTTGTAACAAAGGTGATCTACTTTTAGCTTTGACCAATATCGAACCAGACATCGCCACGTTAGCAGCTACTCATCAGGCTCAGGGCAGTCATTGATAGGTATAATTTTTATATTTTCTAATTTTTTTTTTTCATAGTTAAGTAATTCTTTTTGTATAGTAAAGTATAATTTTTTTGTTAAGTGGTGAAAAATATAACCTTTATTATCTAAAAATAAGAGTTTTTTCTTTAATTAATAACGTTATACTGTAATATACTGATGAATAAATAAATATATATATAATATATATCTTTATTAGAAGAATTTTGATTTTTAGGGGGGGGGGCGTTAGCAGTAAGTTATTACGATAAAGGGGGCGCTGAACTAAAAAATGTTAAGAACCACTGATTTAATACATTACACTCATTTAGAATATCAAAAATATTTAACGTATTGTAAATTTCATTTCTACGAATTACCAAGACCAAAGTTATACATTTTATAATTGGTTTTATGTTTATTTAATTTGAATTTGTTTGAAGGTATAATTTATTTCAGACCATTGAACTCTTCTAGTTTAAATAATTCATATTTTGGAAACTATAAATTTCTGTTAACAAAATTTAAAATGTACAGATGGTCATACCATCTGTACACGATACATATCGATACAATCATTTTGACAATAAGACATTTGGATGAAAATAATGCAAATAAAATAATTCATAAAAATAAATAATATATTAAACACATAAGTTATACAATCTATATAAATAAAAATGATTTTAAATATAAAAATAAAATACAATAAAAAAATAAATGATATGAGCCATTTATAAATTAATAATTATAATTTAATTTATATAAATCAAAATATTTTTACTGAATTAGCATTTCAAATGTTTTTTCTAAGTTTGTTAGCGGTACTTCAACCTTTGTATCAGCCTACTTCCAATGAAGGTATCTTCAAACGTTTGGTAATTTTACTATGGATAAATTTGAAAATCAGTGAAGATAACGATCCAAAAATGTATTCAATGTTCTTTCTAATGAAATTTTAATGCGAATGCTTCGATTTATTAAGTGCAATTTATGATTGCATGGATATTGACCCCGGAGTCACAATATTATTTTGTGTATAAACAGTAAATAATAGGAAATATTTTCAACAATTTATTGAAGCTGTCATCGGGGGTTGGAATAAAGATCTGGCATTATTTATCGATATTTCTACTTTTCATATTTCCATTAATGAAATGTTTATGCTTCCTGTAGATTCATCAACTACACAATACTAAAATACCAGTAACACAAACTAGTAAAAGCTCTATCAACTCAAATGAAACAATTCAAAATAGGTTCCTAGAAAAAAAAACGTAATTTAGGATGTTTCCATCCCTCCAGGTCAGTTCCGGTCATCCAATCTGTTCTGCCTCCTAGCTCTTCCATATTATTCTTCACTACATATTCCCACTTGATTCTAGGTCTTCAAATGGGTATTTTTCCTGTTAAGTATCTGAAAATAGCAACAAAAAATGTCAATGTATTAAAATAATTAAATATGTGCTCAAAAATTTAATATTAACACAAACTAAGATATACTGAACTGGTATCTACTACCAGGTAGTAACTACCTTATCAGTGGCCCTCAAATGATTTGAAAGCCAAGTACCAAGTACCAAGTAATGGTACAATTATGGGTAAAAGCACCATCTATACATGCGTTATATAAAACATAAGGATAATAATAGTTCTATATAAATTATACCTAAGTATATTATCAGTTAAATTGTTTGTTACTAGGAACGCTTTTACCCCTACTTGTGTTCAATGATTTATGATTGAATTCATAAATCATATTATATACAAACATTGCGGTGACCTGCTTAATTTCGAGCCTCACTCAACACCTACTATACATGTCAATGACTTCCATGACTTTCCAAATTTGACACCATTTTTATGTACTTAGATATCTCTAAATTCAAATTCAAACTAGTATAGTTTCTGAGTTATTAAAATGTATGTATTAAGAATAATAGATCATATAAATCATTTACAAAAAAATAAAACGTATATAATGTATAATTTAAAACTAATAATTATACGCATAACATTTTTAGAAATATGAAAATGACTACCTATAGATTAATTACTGTATAATTTTCATATCATTATAGCCCCTAATCTTCCAAACCAATTAAATAAACAAAATATTGTTAGTGCATTAAGTTAAATAACTCAAAAACTTCTATTCAAATTTTAGATACTTCATAATTTTCAAAAAATGATGTGGCTAAACAATTTATAGGAAAATAGAGGTTAGTAATAATCATGGGCACCCATTAGGGGGGGCAAGACAGGGCACTTGCCCCCCCTGGAAAAAAATATTATGAACTTGTAGCTCAATAAATATTACCACAATATTACCTTATTACCGAGGCAAATTATTTGTTGAAATCACTTTTAAGATATGAAATAAGTATAAAAATATACTCATTGTTATCGTATATTAAGTTAATATTATTAACATCATAGATAGGTCGTAGTCTATAGTCTGTATAGGTACCTATATATAAAATTATTTATCGCAGATAATTTGTGGTAAATCCATAAAGATCACAATATAGGTACTACAAATATTTTATCAGACAACATTGACTTCATTTTAGTTGTCCTCTTTCTTAACAAATTTAAGGCTGTACTTGACAAAAATACTGGATTTCAAACGATGTCAACAATTTCAAAAATTCTAAATGGTGAAGAAGCTTCAAGAGTGTTTTCCGGATGATTTCAGTGCTGATGATTTGGCCCATTTCAGATTTGCCCAATCACTTCAGTGGATGTGGAGAGAAGTTTTTCAAAATATAAATATTTATTAACAGATAATCGTCGTTCATTTACTTTTGATAACATCAAAAACGCTCTAATTATACAATGCAATGATTTTTGAGTAATTTGTACGGTTTGATAAATTTATAGAACAAATATTTTTTATTTCATTTTTAGGGAATGATTTGTCATTTTTATGTCATATTTTGAGAAATTTGTAAGCTTTGATAAATGTATATAGAATTTTATAGTAAAATAGAGTATAATATTTTAAAAAACAAAACCATATGTTCCTTCGCTCGACTACAGGAGAAGATCGTTTAAATGGGTTGTGTATGATGAGCCTTCATGGTGAAATAGTTAAAGCAAACAAGGATACTTTCATTCAGGATGTCATTAATATGTTTGGAATAAAACGAAGAAATTTGCAGTTCTTATTTACTGATACAGTGATACCGAATAATATACTTAATTATATTATTTAATTTATATTTTTTTATATACTTATTAAAATTATTATTTATTTATTTATTTGTTAGGCAATTATTATTTATTTATTTATTTATTCATATGGCAATTATTCCGTTCAGAATCTAATATAACATGCATGTATACATTTATATATGAAAAATAACATTAAATCTTTAGTATCTTACATTCGAAAATTTTTTTATTTTGACCCCCCCCCCCTCCTGAAATGTTACCTATGGGCGCCCATGGTAATAATGAAAATACATATAATAGCTTATTCTCATTTTCCAGAATATTTAAAAACTGAATCATTTCATACCTAGTCGATAGCCGACCAAGACATTTGTTAGTCATCAATTTAATTAATCGGTGAGTTAACCCTAAATTATTTGGTTTTTAGTTAGTTAGGACCATCACTATTTGCTGCTAAAAAAATGGATGCAATTAGAAACATGTTACTACTTACTAGTACTTGAACATGACTTATTAAAAACCACGAACATGAAATAAACGACAAATTGGTGTAGCACTTTAACAGGTTATATACATTAATTAAATGTATTTTACTCGTGTTTTAACACAGATTTTTAAAAATCATCTATCACAACCTATGTTATAACATATTTTATATTGAAGCATTTTACGTACTTTGATAAAAACGGTTGGCTCCGGTTTCACTAGTATATCAGTACCACTGACAAAGGACAATGATTCAAGGAAGTTGGCGGGCTCGTTACAATCGACGGTTCTTCTGCGGTATTACCAACGGTTTGGGACTTACTACCAGTTAACACAGGTATTCGCCTAAAAATATAACAGAACCAATTAATACTAATTTTAATTACAATAATTATGTACAACGGAGGAAGAATGAATAGGTACTTATCCTAGTAAGATGTAGTACATATGGATTTTGAGATATTTGATTTATATTTATATTTTTCTAATTTTCTTAAATAATTTTAAGTATGTATAAGTTTCTATTCTTAACATATTATAAAACAAAGTCCATTTTTCTTTATGTATTCTTGGATCTTTAAAACTACAGTGATTCAATAGGAAGGTTTATAAATATATATATATAACATGCATAATATAGAAGAGAAACACCCCCGAGAGGTACTCAAAATGGAATTTTGAGATTTACGATAAACATTTTTGTTTATAATGTTGCTATTGGTTATAGGATAAATAATTAGTAAAAATTAGTATTTTAAATGTTTTCCATTAGTTACTCTGGCAGATGAGGTAAAAGTATCCATCAAAGCTTTTAGTTTCGAATAAAGAAACTATATCTTAAAACAAATATGAGAGTTGAATGTATATTTGTGGCTATTATAGGTTTTAAAAAACTACTTGACCGATTTTGTGAAAATTTCCATTAGTTCTTGGAGATATCAGGAATGTTTAAAGAATAGTTTGAACCACTTTTGATTTATACCCAATACACCACAAATAAATAGTTCACCTTGGTCAATTTAGTTCGCAAAGCTACCCCCAAATTTATCTGTGAACTGAGGTACCTAGGTAGGTACACCAAAACCAAGATAAACTTATAAAATCTACATTTTTTTTAAAAATTTTTTGGCGGGCGTAATCGGGTTAAAGGTACAACTAAAATTATGTTGGTTTATCCGAAGCTAATAGCCTCAAAAAATGACGGGACCATTGTCAATAAAAGTTATTATGATAGATTATTACTTAAATTGCCCAACTCAATTTGTTCCGCAGGAAGCAATGAAAGCGCCATCACCATTTTTAAACATTTTTTTGCTAGTTCATTGTCCCTTATGTATGTTGTATAATGCAACCTTCTTATATTTTTCCACAAACTCTAAAAATGAATAAGTTTTAAAATAATTCTTAACTTTAATATAGTGAATTATGCTAAATACTTGCCTGTACATAATGGAACCAGCACGAAACTAAAATGGCATCAGGGTATACAATTGAAAATGCATTTTCAATCCAATTTCTTTGAAAATCATTATAACTGAATGCTGGACATTTGGAAAAATACTTTTTAACTCGTTAATACCGTTAGATATGCATTCTGAGTTTTACTTTCCATTACAACATAACATATTGGAACAGACTGTAAATGTATAATTTATTATTTTTATTTCATTTAAATAACATGTGCAAAGTTTAAGGGTCCTGGTTGCAATTTTTCAAATTTTCCGCAATTCTATCAAATTAGAAAATTAAATTTTATATTTTAGTTGCCACCTCAATTATAATACTTTTCCACTAATCTACTTCCCGATACCTATTTGAGGGGGGTAGATATGGTGTATTATATAGATCACAACACACTTTACAGGAAAAACTCTCACACCTCATCGATTGGTCCGATTTCCGTTTTTTTTTGTTAGATAGAGTAAAGTTTTTTATAGGGCTTATTGGACTTTGATTTCTGATTACGTTCCTAAAAACGAAAAATAATGCAAAAATTAAAAAGTTGTGAAAAAGGATTAAATTCAAACTTGTAATATACGATTTAGAAAAATAATTTTGAAAATCCAAGTCCAATGCGCCCTGCAATAAGTCTTCCTTAATCTAACAAAAAAAATTACCGAAATCGGACCAATCTACGAGGTATGAGAGCTTTTCCTATAAGGCATGTTTTTGAGCAAAAAACAGGTCACACGCAGGCCCCTTAAGAATAAATTGTAAAAAAGTATAATGTTTACAGGGTGTAAGATGTAACAAGACTGTTTTAAATTTGTACTGGAATTAGTTAAATAGTCTTGTTATACCTCATACATATGGTCACATAGAGTGTAATACAATAATATTTATAGTATAATAAAAATCTAAAACATTTTCTTACATGATTTTGAATAATGATATGCATCATAAACAACTGCCGGCATTTAGGCATAGATGGTACGACTTTGAAAGTTGCATCAGCTTGCCATACCGTACCATCATTTAAAATTACATCATTGATGACCTCTGGACAGGCAAACATAACATGAGCTTTCCCATTGCCATCTACTATAATACACTCCTGAAAAAATCGATGACCATTGCACTGAATCAAGTTTTCTTGTTCTTCTAAAATCTCTTTCAAAGAATTTAGAGTTTCGTGTAGTACCGGAACATGTTCACGTCTTGCCTTACGCATTGATGACTCGGTTGATGTCCAAAGATAAGTGTAAGCCATATTTGGATTTCTAGATAATAATATTGAATAATAAGATAAATTTAAATATATCAAACATGTTGATGAGTATCTATGAAAGTATTAAACTATTAATGAATTTAAAGACATGAAAAATGTACGTGGAGTTATTATATTAGTTACGTATGGCATCAAAAGATATTTTATTCAAAATAAATCTAACATCTTGTTTTTTTTTTTTTTATTAATATAATAGTAAATTAAATTATAAAAACATGTACCTACAAGTATAATTTGTTGTATATCAATATTTTACAAAATGTTTTCCCTTTTATCGACTCCCAAGTGAGAACAAACTAGAGATAGATGTATTGTTGGTTTTAAAAATTAAATATTCATTATCAATATATATAAACCTATTAAAATATTATCTTTAAAATATTTGGAGCCACAGCTATAAAAACATAAACAGTGGGTTGAAGCATACTATAAGTTTTTAGAACCAACAAGACCTGAGTACTATTGGAAGTATACTCATTTTTACTTGCTATTTAGATTGAAATACACAACATATGTAAGTTACACTCTTAGTTCTTGATGCACTCTTCAAACTACAAATTTATATATTTATGTAGGGTCGGACTGGGGCCCTAAATTGAGTGTAAAACTAACCCGCCAATCTAATTAAAAGACTGTGAATTAAAATTACACGACATTATTCTATTCCCAATACAAAAATATTGTAAAGGAAGTTCTCAAGTAACAACAAATATAAACATTGTTTGCGGTCACTTGCGTTTTCAATGTACTTACAGTATTTACATTATTTACAGTATTACTATTATTAATATGGATATATTTGAAGTATTTGCTATAATTACTGCAATAATTTTTATTCAAGTTTACCCTATTGCTACTATTATATTTGTGCTAAGAATATTTATATGAACAATTTTTTTTAGGATCTGAATGTAAACATTATTGATTCTATCCATGATGTAAAAGCTATATATGCCTTTGAGAATTGTCTGATTTGTGTTTTTAATTTACTTAATTCGCTTAATTTACATATGCATACCTACTTATTCTAATTTATATGCAGCCATGAAATATGTACTAACCTTATCGGTAACTCAGGTTAATTGTGAACGAGTAATTAGCAAATTAAAAATTATCAAAAATCGTCTACGCGCTTCATTATCTAATGACAGCTTAGATGTTTTTTTTATTAATGTCTGTAGAAAAAGATATATTGGATGATTTGAAAGTTGAAGATATTTTGGACATTATTAAAAACTCATTTGTCATACAATATTTAAATTATTATCGTACACATAATTACTTACAATTTATAAGGTTTAATTTGTCATACTGCTATTTAGTGTAAATGATTTATACCTATATGTATTGATATATTTTACATTTTCTTTGTAATCAACATAAAAAAGTTCCTAAATCCTAATTCTTGTACTAATATACTGTTGAGAAAATTATAATATTTTGTTAATTTAAGTTGGGCTGATAAATGTAGAAAACTGGCCGGTTGCTTACAGAAAATAGTGGGCCGAAACCCTTCCAGTCCGGCCCTGTATTTATGCACTCCTCAAATATAACAAATCGACACACTTAGGCACTCTAAAACCGAGAATTTTCAAAAGTAACCAAGTACGTGTAATTACAAGTAGGTACTATACCTGATGGCTTCTTCATCGTACATAATTTTCAAACGTGCAGTATCGAATTGTGCTCTATTGATAAGTACCTTCCGATATTATTTTTTTCGAATTTTTTGAGGAAATGGATCATGGGTGTGTGATTTACCGCGTACAATATCGTTCCATCAATTTTCCTCTCGACCGTACCATTACAGGTGACATTTGGACTGGAACAAGTATAATATCTAAATGGTTAAAAAAAAAATCAACAGTTTGGTAAAAACGTTCATACTTACGAAGTAAATACGTGGGCATGATAGTTAGTGCGTGGGTACTTTTTTTCTGTTATACCTACTGCCGCGAGCATAGACAAAGAAAATTACCGCGAGTCTCAATTCTGTTATCTCGACCACCTCGCCGATGCCGATTTAGATAAAAATCGATAATAAAATATCATAGACGGCGCCCGATGCACTTTCCCGCGTCGCTGGTGTTATTTAATAATAATAATATTCTTTAGTGTCGCCTATCACTGTGATTGGCCGTCGAAGCGCTAGTTGTGCGTTCGCCTTTGGTCATGTCGGTGTAATTGTAATATTATAATGTAATCTACTGGTACCAGTCCTCTTGATAAGTTTTCCCCAACACCTTTTTCGGCGTTACCTATATTAATTTCCCCGTTCGTTGTACAAATTCTTTTTTCATAACGTCTTTTACTATTGCTGCCCGTAATTCTTCCTTGGTTTTATATTTCTTAGATTTTACTCGTCGTACTGAACTGCCCGTAGAACTACTATCCGAACTATCTGACTCCGTATTCATATACCTATACCTAATGTTTGTTGACATTACCTACTAAAAATCTATTAATTCTCATTTGATTTATTTAATTAAATATTTTATTTCGTATATTATATTTCATTCCCGTACACACTTATTTATCCTGTACATATTTATTTTACGCACGCCGCTCAGTAATGTATTGTGTACCTCATAGGATGTCAGTGAAGTTGGCCCCCCAACATTGTCCGATCAATCTCAAACCTGTACAAATATTTTGCAAATACTTTGCAATAATTTGCAAATCTATTTTCAGAATTTGCAAACTTCAACTTATGCTGTGGGAATCGTTTCAAAATTGGGGGGGCCAACTTCACTCAGCCCCCCCACATCGTCCGATCGATCTCGGACTGGTGCCAATATTTTGCAAATAGTTTGCAATAATTTGCAAACTCATTTTCAGAATTTGCAAATCACTCGCTGCCCCGCAATTTCCATTTTAGTGTGGGGGGGCCAACTTCACGCAGCCCCCCCACATCGTCCGATCGATCTCGGACTGGTGCCAATATTTTGCAAATAGTTTGCAATAATTTGCAAACTCATTTTCAGAATTTGCAAATCACTCGCTGCCCCGCAATTTCCATTTTAGTGTGGGGGGCCAACTTCACGCAGCCCCCCCACATCGTCCGATCGATTTCGGACCGGTGCCAATATTTTGCAAATAGTTTGCAATAATTTGCAAACTCATTTTCAGAATTTGCAAATCACTCGCTGCCCAGCAATTTCCATTTTAAAGTAAGGGGGACAACCCTACCTGCGCACCGTTAGATGACAGACAGAGAACGACATTTATGATTGAATTTGTTTAAACACTTGAACGATTTACCTACCTAAGTATTTGTACAAAAGGTAGGTTCCGAAAAAAAACTTTTTTAAAGTATAGGTATGATTTATAGTAGGTAAATTGTTATTAAATTTACAAGGCTATGGGCAAGTTAACTATTTTTTTTAAACTCGTTAAGTTAAGTTAATATAAAAACAATGTAAGTTAAGTTTAGTGTTAACTTAGCTGAAAATCAGTTACTTTTTTTCATATAGTAATTAATAATTATACCTACCTTTAACATAAGTATATGTATAACATAGTGATTCAATAAACGTCTTACAATTTTTAAATAAATGTAACGATATTACAAAACGTAGGTAATAGCAATTTTTTCATAAATTAGGTATGATCTATAGTAATTCAATTGTAATTAAATATTAAAATATAATATAATATACTTAAAGATTTGAAATATAAATTAAGGAGATTTTGAACACATGAATATAATACTGTTTTATTACAATATATTCAAGAATGAAATCTATTATCTTTTATTCCTTTTATTTTATTGTCTTTTGTGTTAAGCATAATTAATAAAAAAAAATACAAAGTGATTAATTACAAATAATTTATGTTAATATATTAAACTGCGTAAAAAATTAAGTGTGGTTGAATTTTTGTTGTTCCCGGATTTAAACACTTTTTAAATTTCTTTTCCAAATCGTTGTGTATTTCCCATATTCCACTGAACCTTCGTATATAAGATACATAGTGTACAGAGCTATAACCAACGGCCCCAAATAGCTTATATCTGTGAACAATTAAAAAAATTTTTAAATTATTCATTTTTATTCTCATTCCTTATTATTCATTTTTTTTATCTTCAAAATTAATATAAATTGAAAGTTACTAAAATCAGGGTTTTCTGTCCTATCAATGTAACAAATTTATTTGATTATGATTGCAAAATATACATTTTCATATTTTATGGCCATCATCATAAAACAGTATTTTCAAAGTTTATTAAGAATCAAACTATACTCACAGATTGCCTTCAACGTTGACTTCAGTGGGAAACTCTGTCAAAATAAATGTTCGATTTTCTGAGTAGGAATCAGTTTCGATTATTAAATGTTGGCCTAATTCTCGCTTACTTATTGCCATAACATCATTGCATTTTCATCATTGCGACATCCACTTACCCACCTTTTTTTATTTTAGGATGAAAAGGTTCTAATATTGTAGAACCTTTTCATACTAAACAATTTATTATTTGTATTTTATTAATTTTAATACCAACCAATACAGAAAATTATTATTATAATGTTGTGAATTAAACTATACAAGTTTCTGCATGCCTTAGAATTTTAATTTAAACAAAATGTTGTTTAAGGATTAAAATATTTGAACTCAAACCTTAAAATATTGCTTTCCTGGACAATTTCATAAAAACCATTTAGAACCTTTTCTTTCTAGACCCACGAATCGTGTATTGATGAAATCTATGTAATTTGAAATTTTTAAATTTGAAGGTGAGTATAACATATTATATCAATTTATTTATACAGCGTGTGTCCACTGTTCAGACCTCTTGGATTTTCACCTTCACCATGCAACTAGTCACTAGGTACCTACTGATAAGCATTTTAGATTCTGAGCGGTGCAACGAGTGATTAGTTTTACTATTATGTGTTTTTTAGGGTTCCGTACGTTTCCCTACGGAAGCCTATATTTACTTTCGCTCGGCTGTCTGTCCGTCCGTTCGTCCATCTGTCGCCAGGCTATACCTTATGAACCATGAAAGTTAGAAAAGTTGAAATTTTCACAGATTATGTATTTCCGTGGATGCTATAACAACAAATACTAAAAAAAGGGATAAAAGCAACCCCGGGGGGTGCTAAAACGGGAATTTTGAGATTTCAGATGGAAATTTTTGTTTATAAAAAGTTACTAGTGACGTCGTATTGTTAATAAATGGTTGCCATGAGTGACGTCGTATACAAAGATTCGTTTTATAAATTTCAATACAGAATTATAGTGAATCGTTTTAAGTTACAAAATTATACAGTCCACTGTTATTTTCCTCGCCGGAAAAGTACCTACTGTTGAGGAGAAACTGCTGAAATTCAGATAACTATAACTGAATTTCTTATATTTGTTATTTACCTATATAAATTTAAATACAAAATACATTACATAAATAAATAAGAGATGAAAATATTGAATGGCCTCAAGGAAATTTATTAAATTGGCCTGAATTTTTTCCCACCACGCAAATGACAACAGACATTACATAATAATACGGAACCATTCGTGCGCGAGTCAAACTCGCACTTGGCCGGCTTTTTTTTTTATCTATCTACGTCATAACTACTTGTATTATATAAATGATATTTAAATATGATCTTATAGTCCAACATTTTTAGTTTACGATTTTAATTTTTATTTTATGTAATTAATTGTAAATAGTTACTCATATGGACCTAATGCAAATTTCGAAGATCCAATCCTACTTGATAATATTTATTTAGTATTGCATGTAGGTAGGTATTATACTTTATTTTGCACTGGGGCTTGAACTGATAAAATGATAATATTTTCTATTAGATAGTAGATATGCATAGTGACATGGTAGTTATTGATATTTAATATTATAGTTTTGTTTATTTTAATTTTATTCTCATTACTGATCACAATTTTTTTTTATAATATAATATTTTCAAGTTGAATGTTAAGTTTTATTTTTTATATTTTGATACAAAACATAAAAAATGTTTGAAGTATTTATATTACATTTATTCTGAATTTAACGCATTTATTAGGTACATTTTCCCAGCCCCCCCCCCCCAAAATTTCGAATTTTCATTTTTTTTTTTTACCATTCGTTTGTAGCCGGTTTGTATTGGTTTGTAATCAAATTTTTTTCGTTTGTAGAGATTTGGGTTTTTTATAAAAAAATAAATTTTGGTGGGGGGGCTGGGGAAATGCCCTAAATTGGAATTTTATCTATTTTACAATTTATATTCAACAAGGCTTTTAAAAACCATTTTTAATAAAAAAAAATTTAATTAAAAGACTTGTTGATTATAAAACAAATTTGGATAAAAACCAGCAATTTAATTAACAAGGCTCTTTTTTATCTCTTTTTTTATCTAATTCGTTATTTTTTAAGATTTTTTAATCAACAAGTCGTATTAGATTTTTATTCTACTTTCAACTTTTTTGTATCCAATTTCTTTTTTCCAATTTCAGTTTTTTATTCAACAAGATTTTTATTTGAGCTTATTGGATAAAATAAAAATGGAATGTTGAATAAAAATCTAATTAGATTTGTTGAATAAAAAATATTAATCGGTTAAAAAGCCATTTTGAATAAAAAATCTAGATAAGATAAAAAAATTTGAAATTGAATATAAAAACGGATTTGAAAAAAAACAGTTAAATAAAAACCATAATTTATTAAAAATTCTAAATAAATGTAAATGACAAAAATTATTAAAATTGGTTAAATTATTATTTTTGTTATAAATTTTATGTGTCAATTATATTTTTTATTGTTTTAATTATTTTGTTTTTATTTATTTTAAATATACATTAATTTTTCAGTCAGTTATTGTAATAATTTTTATGGTTCAATTTTATTCATAGTTTTTAAGATAATTTTTCAGTTTTTTAGATTAATAAGAATTCATTATTGAAATTAATTCGAGACAAACTATAATTTTTATTAAAAAATCTAGATTGAATAAAAAAGTCTTGTTGAATAAAAATCTAAATTTGATAAAAAAAATGGAAACCTTAATAAAAAATCTAATTCTAAAAAAAGATTTCTTGTATAAAAAATCATTGCATAAAAAGTCTTGTTGAATAAAAAACTAAATTGGATAAAAAATTTATGTTGAAAAAATAAAATAAAAATCATCCAATTTAGATTTTTTATTTAACTAAGCTTTTTACATTAAATTTCTTATTACCGTTTCTTTTTAGCCGTTTTGTATTGCTTTGTAATATAATTTTTTCATTGTAATGGTAGTCACTAATTAATTATTTTTTGAATGCTGTCTATCGATGATTTATAGATATAATATGTAACAAAATAAATCATCGTTTAGTTGTAAATAAATAATAATTATTAATAAGTTAAAGTTGATTAAAATGTTCATTTGTTAATTTAGTTATAACATTTTTATATAATTTTCGAAGACTGAAAAGAATAAACAAAGTATGTTACCTTTATTATTTATTTTTAATATTATACTAATAGTTATTATTATATTTTCAAAGGCTGAAAACTGAAAAGCAATAATTTATATTATTTACTAAATAATAGTAAATGGTAAATAGTTAATACTTAATATTTAATACTAATTTTTAATTTAAAATAAACCAACTTGATTGTTATTACATATATTTATAAATCATAAATAAAACCTCATTTAAAAAAGACCAAATTAGTAGCTTTTGAAAGAATGCTAGTATGTTTTTTGTTAAGGTGGCTAATAATTAGGTACAATTAAATAACAATTATTTGTATTACATAATAATATTATATTTACAAAATGATTTAATCATCGATGGATATTGGACAGCCCTTAAAACATAACTAATTAGTAAACAACAAAATATGATGTTGACTTTTTAAAGAAAATTAAAAATTCCAGTTTAGGGCATTTCCACAGCCCCCACAAAAATCTAAATTGAATGAAATGACGGATTCTGAATAAAAAAACAGTTAGATAAAAAACATAATTTATTAAAAAATCTAAATTTAATAAAAGAGCCTTGTTGATTAAATTGCTGTTTTTTTTTATCCAAATTTGTTTAAAATCAACAAGACTTAATTATATTTTTTTTTATTAAAAATGGTTTTTAAAAGCCTTGTTGAATATAAATTGTAAAATAGATAACAATTTTTATTTAGGGCATTTCCCCAGCCCCCCCCCCCAACCAAAATTTATTTTTAATTTTAGTCATGCACAGTAAAATAAAATGTCCCTGTAATATTTATTATTTAGCAACGAATTTATAAAATAAGTTCATTCCCAGTGCACATTCTAATGTAACTATATAGTTTGGGTCTAAACTCAGCTCACATTACAATGTTCATATCGGGAGTATTCTGTGTTCCCGAAGCACATCGTAATGTACATTAAAAAATCTCTGTACCAGATTATCAGAAACGGATGAAAATGGACAGATTTATTATTCAAGAATAAAGCAAAAAAATAATGAATAAAAATAAATTTTTAAAACAAATATTTATTTTTTATCGGACTTTTATTATATAAATATTTTTTATCAAATAAACATTTTTTTATTAAATAGGTTTTGTTCTCAATTATATTTTTTTATGAATAGATTTTTAAAGGAATACAGATTTTTTTAATAAATAGTTTTTATAAAAAAGACTTTTTTAATGAATAGTTTTTTTTTATCAAATATTGATTTTTTTTTTATCAGATTCACCTTAACATTTTGTTCGATCAATTCCAAACCTTGGATAATGTTTTGAAATGATTTCGAAATAATATGGTACTTTACCCATACTCCAGAAAATCTGATTTTTGGACGGCAGTACCATCCACTACCACGAGAAAATTAATATTTTCTACATAATATCTATCTAAAAAAATTGTCGAATATTAGAAATCAAAAGAATATTATTAATAAAAATATATAATGACTATAAGTAATTAATTCAAATTAGGTATATCAATAATTAATGAAACTATATGTCAAAACAATTAATTAAAATAAGATGTTAATACATTAATAATATTTAAAAATAATTAAGTTAATTTTTTTTATGAATAGATTTTTTTAAAAATATAGGTTTTTTAACAATTTATGATTTTTTTTTTTTATCAAATATTGATTTTTAACTACTATGGATTGAACGTAGATTTATAAAACAAAATTTAGTATAAAATCGAAGTAAAATAAAAAATATATTCTTTGAATAAAAGATCTTAGTTGAATAAAACCGAGAAGGATACAAAAAATCGTGATAAAAATATATATTCAGTAAAAAGTGTATATTTTCTGAAAAAATGTTTTTAATAAAAAAGGTTGAAGAAAACCATATAATAATAATAATAATTAATTGAAAATAATTAAAATAACTGACTCTTATAAAACGAATAAAAATTAATGTATATTTTAATAAATAAGAATATAAAATTTCAAAAAATGAATAAATTGATTCATATAGAAATACTTAGTAAAATTAATGTTTAATAAGTGATAAAAAATCAATATTTGATAAAAAAAAACTATTAAAAAAAAAACTTTTTTTTTTCTGTTTGAACCGACGGCGTCACAGGGACAGCTTTCGCAATACTTCCGCGACTCCAAATTCAACAAAAAACCTATATTTGTTAAAAAATCTATTTGATAAAAAACTATTCAGGCATTAAAAAATCTATATTTATTAAAAAATCTATTGATAAAAAAACTTGATGAAATATAAAAGCCCAGTTGAATAGAATAAATAAATAGATAAATAATTTTAGGGGGAGGGGGGTGATCACCATTTTCGTGATGTTTACGTATTTTATCAATATTTGAATGCTTATAAAAAAAAATTGTGACTACGGATTTTTAATATTTTTCATCCCCTTTAAAACAGTATACTAGGAACCTTCTAATAAATTTTCAAGCTTTTTTACCCAACAAATAAAATTTAATAGACATTTATAGAAAAAAAACCTAAAAGAATCGGAAAATGAAAATGTCCGTAAACAGTTCAAAATAAGTCAAAATATTTTGAAAATATAATGGTGTGTAGAAAATGCTTATATAAATATTCAGTCAAAATTTCATGGATCTACTTTCATTTCTTTTAGAGTTACACCAAAAACCAAAATTCTAGTTTTTTCCTTAATTTTTAAAATAAAAAAACACATATCATTGTAAAATCAATACATTCATCGCTTCGTTCAGAATCTAAAATTAATAAAAGCCTATTTGAATTAAAAACAAATTCTTAGAAAAAATGAATTAGAATAACAAAAACCTGGTTGAATAAACCATTTAAAAAAACTAAATTAAATATTTAGTTAATCTTTTTAATTTTAAGTTAATGTATTATTTTTAATATTAATATTAGTATTTTATTTATTATTATTTAGTGTTTTAAGTCCGTAGTTATGAAGTTATTGTACTGCAAATTACCATAAACCATGTTGCAATCAGCAAATATTTTTAAGTCGTTTAGAAAATAAATGCATTAAATTGAACTTTGATGTGGACCGAACAATGTATGTGGTGCCACCTTCACAGTCATTATATTACTTACTTAAATAGCAATATTATAAACTATATGTTATCGTTAAAAATCATTCTGTGTTACAATGGTTTTATATTTAGCATATAATATAATATCAATATGACAGTGGCCACTCTATACACCAAGTAAATACTGTATATGAGATGTATAAGTGTGTATCAGAGCGGTACCAACTTGCCCAAATTTTTTTTATCACTGTATACAATGATTTAGCATTATAAATGCTTTTTAATCCATTTTAAATGATGATCATATTTGGTTAGGTCAGGTTAAGCTTATCAGGTTTATGATATTTTATAATGCAATGGTGTAATTAGTTTTTTTTAGATTATGTCTAATTACACAAAATTAATACATTTGCAGCTGTGTTGAGTATAATTATTGAAACAAATCTTAATTCAATCAGTTATCTTATATTTTATACAATTATACTTTATCTACTTCTATGATATTTAAAATCGTTGTTATTGAATTCGTTTTAGATTACAAAAACTGGTAGGCCTGCTGCATTAAACCACGATGTTGTATTCACTGCTCTCCAAGAAAAAATGCATTTATTGTTTAATGACGATCACATTTTAAGACCAATATCTGATCAAGTTTGGGTTGATTTGTCGGTTGCACTTCAATATAAAATGTCAGCTAAGACAATATATATAGCAGTTTATCAAAACAGGCATGATTGGCAAAATAAAATAAAACATCTGCTAGGTATTCAGAATCAACAAAATGTAAGTCCAATAGAAACAGAATCTACGTCTTCATCTTCATCAACAGAAGAAAACAATAATAAAAAGTTATTTAATTTGACTATACCTGATTTTTCTAACATTTTGGTATCATCTGTACCATATAAAAGTAAAGGCAATATAAGATATTATGATATATTGAAGCCAGGGACATGGACCGATATAATAAACGATGCGTTTTTGGCAAATTATAAATTGCCATGCTGTTTCATTTATAAACGTGGTAAAGTGAATAAGGATATATCAAAAAGCAAACATTACTTAACATTCCAAGCAACTTGTAAAGAGTGTAAAAATGATCTTTTTGGTTGGAGTGATGCTAAACCAAAACCAGGTGAACCATTACATTTATGTATATTAACAAAAAATACTGTCGGCGATGAAATCAATCATACGACCAAAAGACCGTTGAAAGGTACTAAACGTAAAATGGTTGGTTATGAATTATCAACAGATGTACCTTCAAATTGGAGACGTAAACAGGTAAAAGATTTAGATTTTGGAAGAATTTCACCACCGAATCTGTACAAAAATAATGTGTTGAGTAAGACTAAACAAGATTACATAGATAAATCATTAGGAGTCATTAATAGAAATCCAATTGATTCCTTGATTGAATTAAAGCATACTTCTCAGGCTGGAAATATTCATCATATTGGCAGTGATCCAGCTATTATCCATTATTGGACCAATCATCAACTTGTTATATATAAAGATATTACTAAAAAATATAGTAGGCTTTTTATTGATGCTACCGGCAGTCTTGTAAAAAAAATCAAACGTACGTCTCTTAAGCTACTATCAGGTGATATATTTTTGTATGAGGCTGTTGTAAATGAAGGTTTCGGCCAAATTCCTGTTACCCAAATGATAAGTGAAAAGCATGATTCGATAACTATTTCATATTGGCTGGATATGTGGTTAAGATGTGGACTGAGTGCACCTAGTGAAGCCATATCTGATTACTCCAGAGCACTTCTTATGGCAATGTGTAAAAGTTTTTGTAATTTAAGTTTTCAATCATACCTTGATGAATGTTTTTCTGTAATTACTGGTGAAAAAGATAAACTGCCTTCATGTTATATTAGAATCGACGTCTCTCATATGATCAAAACCTTTTGTAGACTTAAGTGTTTGTGTGGTATCAAGAAAAAGTGTTTGAAAGAATTTTATGTTCGTTGTTTTAGACTTCTATTAACTTCAACTGACCTTCACACTTTTAAAAATGTATTAACAGCATTCATGACAGTGATGTTAAGTGAAACAGATGGTTGGATAGACGAAACAGAGAATCAAGAAAATCCATCAGAGAAGTATCGAGTATATTTGATAAATCTTATGAAAGCCATACCTGCTGATGAAACTAGTAACAATTACCCAGACTGTGATACTCAAGACAATGAAGATATAGGAATTGAAAATGCAGATGATATAGATGAATCTTCAAATTCAATAACTCAATTTATACAGGATATTGAAAATTGCAGTAAATTAAATGCCAGTGTTAAAGGTAACAGGATGTCTGCGTACTTTTTGCCAGAATTAGCAAAAGACGTTAAACGAATTTGTAAGCATTTTCCGTTGTGGACTGCAGTTATGCAGCATATATTTAATTCGCCATTTAAAATTGCTACATCAGCCCCGGTTGAAAGCGATTTTAATGAGCTAAAAAATCTAATTTTAAGACATGCTAGCCGCCCGATGACCGCTGACCGTTTCATACTTCGTCACATCCAAAGCATTGATAGTAACTCAAAACTATTTCGCAGTTCTCAACTAAGAAATAGTGCTATTGATAAGAGTCCAACAACTACTATATCGTCAGTTGAAAGTGATTGTGTGTCTAATAATCCTTTTTTATCATCTGATGATGATATAGAAAATTGGCGTGGTAAAGGTGAAGAACCAATTACAAGCTTAACATTGAAAAGTAATAACAAAAGGCAAAAAATATTCCCCACTTCTAAGGATACTGCTACAAAAATTGAGTCTGAAGCAAACACAAACATAGCAAAACAATTATTTGATAATTTAAGTTCATCTTCAATTTCCGACGATAATGAAGAAATTACATTCATTGATACATTTTCCAATTCCCAGATCATACATAAAAGTAAAACCAGTGAAATACCTAACAACGACATACAAGGTGTTCTTAAAAAAAAAAGTCAAAGACCAAAAAGCAGACCCACAAAGTATATGCAACCAACACCTGAGATTGAACGAGTTTTATGTGATCGAAACATAAGGTCTAAGCATGAAAGTTTACTATTAAATGGTAATTTAAAAACCCCTCTGCGGATGAATAAAAAACGATATTTAATTAGTAACACATGTCCGTTCGATTCAGTCGCATTTATTATATCTATAGCATACACAGACAGCAATTTATACAAGGAATTTGTTGAAGAACAAACAAATACAGTTTTACGTTTTTGCAAGAAATTGGCTTCAGGTGGTCCACGTCATGATATATATAAAGAAAGAATAAATATTCTTAAGGAATTGTTTACAGAAGACCAAGGAGTTACTGATGTTGCTTTGATAAATACAGAGTGTAATGTTCTTTTTATTTGTACGTCCTTACTAAAAGACGTCCCATCGGCTACTGAATTTATTAATTGTCCTAACCTGAAATGTGCATCAACAAAATATGCAAGCCCAACAATCATTTTAAAGTTCAGTAATAGATTTAAAGATCTAGAAAATGATTTGAAAACGTATACAAAAGAAAAAGTTAAAGAGTGTTCAAAATGCAATGATGTTATGGCAATAAGTAAGCGAGAATTAGGCCAACATTTAATAATCGAAACTGATTCCTACTCAGAAAATCGAACATTTATTTTGACAGAGTTTCCCACTGAAGTCAACGTTGAAGGCAATCTGTGAGTATAGTTTGATTCTTAATAAACTTTGAAAATACTGTTTTATGATGATGGCCATAAAATATGAAAATGTATATTTTGCAATCATAATCAAATAAATTTGTTACATTGATAGGACAGAAAACCCTGATTTTAGTAACTTTCAATTTATATTAATTTTGAAGATAAAAAAAATGAATAATAAGGAATGAGAATAAAAATGAATAATTTAAAAATTTTTTTAATTGTTCACAGATATAAGCTATTTGGGGCCGTTGGTTATAGCTCTGTACACTATGTATCTTATATACGAAGGTTCAGTGGAATATGGGAAATACACAACGATTTGGAAAAGAAATTTAAAAAGTGTTTAAATCCGGGAACAACAAAAATTCAACCACACTTAATTTTTTACGCAGTTTAATATATTAACATAAATTATTTGTAATTAATCACTTTGTATTTTTTTTTATTAATTATGCTTAACACAAAAGACAATAAAATAAAAGGAATAAAAGATAATAGATTTCATTCTTGAATATATTGTAATAAAACAGTATTATATTCATGTGTTCAAAATCTCCTTAATTTATATTTCAAATCTTTAAGTATATTATATTATATTTTAATATTTAATTACAATTGAATTACTATAGATCATACCTAATTTATGAAAAAATTGCTATTACCTACGTTTTGTAATATCGTTACATTTATTTAAAAATTGTAAGACGTTTATTGAATCACTATGTTATACATATACTTATGTTAAAGGTAGGTATAATTATTAATTACTATATGAAAAAAAGTAACTGATTTTCAGCTAAGTTAACACTAAACTTAACTTACATTGTTTTTATATTAACTTAACTTAACGAGTTAAAAAAAATAGTTAACTTGCCCATAGCCTTGTAAATTTAATAACAATTTACCTACTATAAATCATACCTATACTTTAAAAAAGTTTTTTTTCGGAACCTACCTTTTGTACAAATACTTAGGTAGGTAAATCGTTCAAGTGTTTAAACAAATTCAATCATAAATGTCGTTCTCTGTCTGTCATCTAACGGTGCGCAGGTAGGGTTGTCCCCCTTACTTTAAAATGGAAATTGCTGGGCAGCGAGTGATTTGCAAATTCTGAAAATGAGTTTGCAAATTATTGCAAACTATTTGCAAAATATTGGCACCGGTCCGAAATCGATCGGACGATGTGGGGGGGCTGCGTGAAGTTGGCCCCCCACACTAAAATGGAAATTGCGGGGCAGCGAGTGATTTGCAAATTCTGAAAATGAGTTTGCAAATTATTGCAAACTATTTGCAAAATATTGGCACCAGTCCGAGATCGATCGGACGATGTGGGGGGGCTGCGTGAAGTTGGCCCCCCCACACTAAAATGGAAATTGCGGGGCAGCGAGTGATTTGCAAATTCTGAAAATGAGTTTGCAAATTATTGCAAACTATTTGCAAAATATTGGCACCAGTCCGAGATCGATCGGACGATGTGGGGGGGCTGAGTGAAGTTGGCCCCCCCAATTTTGAAACGATTCCCACAGCATAAGTTGAAGTTTGCAAATTCTGAAAATAGATTTGCAAATTATTGCAAAGTATTTGCAAAATATTTGTACAGGTTTGAGATTGATCGGACAATGTTGGGGGGCCAACTTCACTGACATCATATTTATGAAATTATATTTTAATAAACGTGTTTTTAGATTTTCGTCAATCGAATTATTACGGTAATTTGTATTAGGTATTTTTTTTACAGCCCTTCAGGATTCTGATCAGTGACTAAATCATTTCAAAACTTAAGTAACTACCTATAATAATAAATTTCCTTTTTTTTTCGTATATTTTGTTGTTTTTTATGCAAATTTAAGGTAATATTATAGCGCATATTTATGCAATTTTAAGGGCTATAAACTACCAACCCTACTAATAACCATACTTACATGATGGAGACTTCACTATGTTTTGTAATGCGAATAAACATGTCAACAGATTATATTGACATAATATATTATGCAGGTTGTTGTTTCCAAACAATGCAGAATGGCTTTAGAAGCATTAAATCCAACAAATATCAATAACACAGGTATACGGGCCGGGTACGACCAAAATAATATGCCGTTTGCCCAGTCACCAAAATACTTCGTGTGGTATTACACTACTACTCGCAGACCTACCACACTACCTTGTGTGTATGTGTGTTTTTAGCACTCAACAAGAATTTTCCAGGATCTATGAGTGCTAGAGTGGAGGTGGTGAGTAGGTGTGTATATTGTAATTTGTGTGTATCGTACCTATATAGACAATAAATAAATTGTACACGGATTGAATAGGTAGAGCATAATATAATCTTATAACAAGTGACAATTTAAAAATATTATGTTCGTACAAAATGTATTAAGTACCAAAATAACAAATTTAATATAATCTGGCCCCTTTGGCTCAACAAGTAACAATAATAATAAATCAATTGCTCTGTGTTGCTGGTAAAAAATATATACAAAGTAAAAAATAATAATTAATTTTTGTACACACAGCAACACGGAAATTATATTATATTATATTAGCAATATTAATTTACTCACGGTTTACAAAATGGAAGTGGATCGCAGCTAGCCAGTCTGCAGGTCCCTATACTATAAAAATTGTGAAACATGGAAGTACCAATAACAAGGAGTGGCGCTTAGCACACACTAAATACAATAATCAAAAATGCGCACTTGTGCTCACAAATAATAATAGTAATAATGATGTGGCGGTTTTCGTAGACAATAATAATGCCGTAAAGGACGATTTGCGTCCACAATAATCAGTTAATTATAAGATCAATAATAATGCGACGAGGACGATTTGGTCCACCACACTTCAAAAAATTAACATTATAATAATAAAAAAAAAGGTAACGATTTGCGTCCACAACAATATATTCTATATTGTTATAGTTAATTTGCGACTTCGAACTGTGTCGGAGTGTGTGACGTTACTGAATATAATAAAATAAAATAATTGACACAATAATGATCGGACAGCACGGCGGCCTTTGTACTGCCGTGTACAAAATTAACATATTATATAATGGATTACGATAACATAAATATACTTATTATTAACAGCTTTGGTGTGTGTGTGTGTGTGTGTGTGTCGGTCGGCCGTCGATAGTCATATCATAATTTGCTGTTCGGCGGCAACATCGTGGGCGCGTGGCCGTGGTCATTTGGGCGAAGGTAATCATTTTTACCGAAAAATTAATAGACCGTTTGTTTGGGCGAGTGAATTTATTTAAAACCTAGATACGGATAATCAATAGGGCCGTCCTTATGGGGGGGGGGGAGTTTTTGTAATTTTTGCTCAAATTTGGAGGCCTCGAGTTTGAAAAAAGTGGTAAAATTGGTTTAAAAATTTTTATTCACCTCGAGCAGGTAAATAATTTTACTCGCCCAGGGCCTCGATAATCCTAAGGACGGCCCTGCTAATCATTATTAATCACTATTACTGAAAACAAGATTTACTATAACCTAACCAATTCAAACCTTATTATAATATTATATGACGTGTTATTTTAATCATTATTTTTACACTGTAGATTATCATATTATAATAATATAACTATATATTTACCTATATTCAATATATTATGAATAATTAAGTACAATATACATTACTATACGATATATAATTAGTTAACCTATAAACTTATTTAAACCTTATTTGCACAAAGCTCCAAACGGTAGTTTTGGTAGAGTAAAATCTCGCCGAAACGGTCTACGCTCCTCCGGCGTCACCAACTTACCTGCTTTTTTCTAAATATGTTTATTCATACCCAGAGGCGTACCCAGGGGTAGGGTTCTAGGGTTCTGACCCCCCCCCCCTGAAATTTCTTCCGTTGACAAAAAATAAAACCATTTAAATACACAAAGTCGATCAATTGTTGGTCATTTTTAATAGATATAATATAAATTGTTAAATATGACAAAGACGTCGATAATCATAGTTTCAGTTTTTAGGCTGGTTTAGAACATAGCTAAACATCTGTCATAACCGTCGTATAGTGTATCATCATGTATCACCGTCCATCGATAATTACCACATACTACGACCCGAAGAGGCTCTATAGATGACCATAGGTGTCAAGATTGAACACTTGAGTGTTCTTAATGTAGACTACATTTGAGATTAATTATAATTTGTTATAACCAATTACATAAAAACTATTTAGAAAAAAATAATGTAAATTATTTACTCAGATGAAACCCTAACCGAACTAAAATCCTGCGTACGCTACTGTTCATACCCATATTCATGGGTTGGCAAGTATAAGTGAAGGTATGCTAAATGCATGTTAAAATGTGTGCGATGGACAAAAAATATATCAGAAAGTACCTATCTAAAAATATAAATATCTCCAAAAATATTAATAATGAAAAAAATGTACACCTAAGACCTAACTAAGCAATGTATAAATGAATTGTTATTATACGACTGTTACGGTTTGTTATGTGTCGGTGGATGCCGGGTGGACCGGAAAACACAGTATTCGCCACGGCCACGGAACATAATATTTATTTATTTGGAAACAGGTTGCATGGCACCATCTAGCGGCTCTCCGACTCGAGGCCGTCACACTCGGTGGTTGGTCAGGCTATGGACAGAAACGGTGTTCCTACGCTCTCCATTGTGATGGTCTCCAGTTGAATGCTTTATATATATACTGCCAGTCGGACACGAATGTATGCGAAGGTCTGACGCACGGCTACCACCCGAAATCGCCGTATGGTGAACATTAAGGAACATTGCTGAATCTCGTACCCATGCGACGATAACGCTCACACTGAAGATAAACCCCTTAGGATAAACAGTGGGTGAGGCGCGATTAAAGCCCCCACAACTTTCGTGGTGCCGTGCGTACTCTCGATCTTCGCAAAATTTTTGTTTTTTTTTTTTGTTAAATGTATTAATTTAGTATTTTATACTACTTATATTAAAGCGCTGGACTACAATACCATTTTTTTCCTCAGCAGT